CGTCTAATTGTCTAAACTGATGAGCTCCCCCTACACCTCACCCCCCTCTCCCTCCTCCTGATCCACACCCCCATCTGCCTTGACCAGTTCACTCCTTCAGCCAAAGTGGACTTTTCCCTGCTGAGGACCTCTGTGCACTGATTTGGGATGGGTGCCGATACCAGAGAATGTATCACAGAGGATCCACGTGTATGACTTTGGAAAACGATCTGTTGTTATAAAACATTGTTAGCAAATATCCGCCTTTACAGGGCATTAATTTAATACTGTAATGTTTAAATGCCCCTACTATAAAGTACTGAATTCACAAAGGTTGAAGTCCCCCACTGGGAAACTGCTTATTTAACCACCAGACACAGAGAAAGGTTAGAAAATGGGAATTTCCTAGAAATTTGGTGGGAATATAGATTGGAACCGAGTGTAAAAATCAGACAGCAATGGGGCGAGAGCTCTATCAAAAGTATTAAATGTGCATATCGTTTAATGAGAAAGCTACATCCAGGAAAGAGGGCAAACAGGCAAGACAACCATTAGACGACAGGACTTTTCTGAAAGGGGGTGAGCAAGAAACCCAAACATGCCACCACCCCTCCTCTTGGCGAAGTCTGAGGGCCACACTGGCAAAGGTTCGGAGTCCCAAAGAAAGCTGATTTGGCCTGAGTTCTCTGAATGCGTCCATGGGAACCCTACAAAGCAGGACCAAGTGTCATTTCACAACAATAAAGTTCCATGAACTCTTGCATCCAAATGACAACGGCGCCCCTCACATAGCTCAGCTGATCCTACGGAGGACCAACCGGGTGAGAGCAAGAGCCGCCGATGATGAGCTCATCAAATGCACTGTGCCAACAATGGAGACAGACACTGAAGGAGGCCAGGCAATCACTCGGTGACACAGTGACCTTACGCTTCATTACACCCAAAATAACTGGTTTATTTAAAATTGATAAAATCAACAAACTCAACTGGTCTGTGTGTCGAGGATGCTTTTTCTTTCACAGAAACGTTACAAAGAGAGCAGGGACAGTTTCCACATACCCTTCGCTCAGTCCCCCCACTGCTACCACCTTAAGCCACTACGATACATTTGTCACAACTGAGGAACCAACGATGGCACATGAGTATTGACTGAACTGCACCCTGAGCGCCACTCACGTCTCCCTGGCCTGCTCTGGTCACAACAGCTTCGGAGACAGTCCCTGTGTGTGATGACCTTGACAGCTTTGAGGAGCACTGGTCAGGTGTTCTGTTGAATGCCCCGCTTGAGGACAAAACTACTGTCCAGTGTCTCTCACTGAGTAGACTGGGGTTCAATGGACCTGAGTCCGTAACTGGGAGGGGAGAGGAAGATGATGGAGGTGAAGTGTCAATATCAGGACGTCATATCAAAGGTACCTGCTGTCAACTTCAAGTGACAGACGTCAGCTCTGACCACCTGGCCTAGTTAGCATGTGCCCGATTTTCCCATGACAAACTTCCTTTTTTCCCATCGTCTACTCTTTGAAAATGAGTCATTTTGGGCAGCCATTGTGTGGACAGGGAGCTAAGCTCCAACCGCGGGAGCTGGAGAAGAATCTGCAGAAATCGCCAAAAGTGGTCCTGTGTGGGGAATCTGTCTCTACGCCCATTTATCCAATAACTTACTTACTGGTGTCTCGGTGTGGACACAGAGATATCTAGTTTCTATTTGGGGTTATACCCCAGCACTGTCAGTTCCGTACTGGTCCCAGCTCTGGCCCCTGGGAGCAATTTCAGGTGGGCCCTCTGACGCGCCTCATCGTTTTGGTTATGAACGTTTCATTACCTTCTTCCCCTCCATAGTTCCGTCAGCAAAACTGCCTTACTTAAGAACAGGGCTGTTATGGGTTGAATTGTGTCCCCTCCCCATTCCCCAGTTCGTGTTGAAGTTCTGGCCACCACTACCTGAGAATGTGACCTTATTTGAAAAGAGTCACTGGAGATGTAATTACTTCAAATGAGGTCGTACTGGAGTAGGGTGGAACCCTGGTTCAGTTTGGCGAGAGCGCTTATAAAAGGTGGACATTTGGGCACAGACAGTGCACCAGCAGAACCCCATACGGATACTGGAGTGATGCTTCCTCAAGCCAAGTAATGCCAAAAACGCCAGCAAAACACCAGAAGTTAGGAGAGAGCCAGGTGACAGCCCTCAGAAGGAGCCCACCTTGCTGAGACATTGATTAACCTTGGACTTCTAACGTGCAGAACTGAAAGAAAATAAATTTCTGTTGTTACTCGGCTGTTACTTGGCTATGGCAGCCTCAGCAAACTAATCAAGAGCTAATGCCATTAAGCTCTGCATCTCAACCAAAACCAATTCACAAACATGGTGTCAAAAGAACATTCTAACAGACATCCAAAAGGGCATACTGGAAACCAGAGGCACGCGTACACACACCACAATACTGAGCGTTTTATCTGGCTCTGAGCAAATGCGGAGACAGGGTTTTCTGACACTCATTTCCCGGGCAGAACTTCCAGCCACCTGCAGCTCAGCTCAGAGCGCACCTTGCCAAGCGCACCTGCAAACATGGGCACTAAACACCCATCTCGTGTGATCGCCACCTTCGACACGCCAAGTAGCGGCTCCACGGAAACTGAGCACTTCCCAGGTGCCCCACACGGCAATCCCACGAGGAGCTGACAGGTGATTCCCTGTGTCTCATGAGACCCGGCCACACACGTCAGGTTGGCATTTCTGGTCTGTTTCAATGACTCGCTTTGTCTCACTTCCCACTGCCATCTTCCCTAAGTCACGTCAACAAGCGAGCCGATGGCTTAGAATGGAGCTGAACACCATGCCATTATCAGTCATACAAACACTGTACAATAGTCCAGTATTTAGTGCTTTCAGCTCTCTAGTCCCCAGGAAAGGGAAAGTGACTTATTCCCACAGAGTGAAGACAGGGAACAGGCAGGCTAGAAGCTGATCTGTCACCTCGTTCTGCGTCCAGTGACCGTCCTGGAGGTGAAAGCCAAGCACCTGTGTGGGTCAACAGAGGAACTTTTCTCTGTCCTCAGCCAACTGGGTGACAAGGAACTGGAGGTGACAGTACAGAATATGAAGTACTTGTTTGGAAATAATGTTCATTTCGGAAGCTCTGGTCCGTCTGCATTTTTATGCCTCTATTAAAAAATCCAATGAAGTCATTAAGCTTAGACCAGCTCGGAAGGCCTCCTGCCTGCGTGTGCCTTCCTCCTGCGGCCCCTAGCGCTCAGCTATAATCCTCCCAATTATTAAATAATTACTGCGTTTCCCTTGGGGTCACTCTTGGCAACAGAATACTGGTCTAAATGGACCAATGATATGACCCAGTGAATAACACAATGTTCTTAACTTCCTAGAAGCAAAAGGATGTGAAATACTTCTGAGGTACAAAGTGGAGAGGAAAGTGAGGGGCGTTCTGTGGGGTCTGGAGGGTAGGGGGAGTATTATAAGCAAGGAACAAGAGAATTGGGGAAATATTCCAGAAACTAGCATGTCATCTGCTCCCCCACCAACCTCGTATGGCAACAGTTCTGCCCCCAATCCTAGTTTCCTCGCAGATTTCAGGAGTGGCTACAGCCACGAGAAGAAACCCAAACATATGGCTCTGTCCTTCTGGACATTTCTACAGTGTTGGCTGTGCTGCTTTGGAAAATCCCATTTTATCTCCTACAGCTCTATGACCTCGGGTTGTCATTCCCAATAAAGTATGCTTACACTGATTTTTATGAACACAGACAAAAGCAGCTACAACCTCTTTTTTCCCCCAAATCTTTCAAACCAACTGTAGTTGCTATGTAGGGTTATTTGTTTCTAAGGCAACAGAGTATATCTAAGTACTAATGGCCTGTCCTTTTGCCAGGCAACAAACAGCCTTGTGATGCAACCGCACCTGTCTCTGCTACGCGTTGCTATGGAGACGCTCCAGTTGCTATGGATACCATCACGCTAATCGCCTAGCAAAGGCAGACATACAGCAGTCTTCTCAGAGAGCCCAGCTGTTCCTCCCCGTCTCTCGCTGAAGACTGATTGTCTAGAGCCTGTGATGGAATGCTTCTCCACTGAGATGCACAAGAACTTCATTAAGGCCGTTTCAGAGGCTCACTCTGTGCTCCGTCTGCAGAGCACAGCCTAGAGAAGGAATCTGCAAACAGTGGGCTGCAAAACTACCGAAATCTAAGAAGTTGAGCCATTTCTCATTACCATAAACTTGTAGTCTAAGGATAATTTCACTGGATGCTTACGGTAGAAACATCTCTAGACATTAAACATTTTTATTTTAGTGGGATTGAGGAATATATTTCAAAGCCAAGCACTAAGATAAACTCAGTGCTAAAATTTGGTTCTGTTCTAGGTTGCTGTTTCAATCTAACACTCATAAAATTTTTTTAAAAGGTTAACAAGCTACACACCCACCCCTCCGATTATATCTCTGTAAGAAGGGTACCCATGGCCTCCCTGCCTCCAAACAAACGGTCAAGGGCAGGGGAATGAAAGTATCCATTGTCCTCCACTGTTGCCTTCACAGAGGCAAACACCAAGTAACCACAACACAACGGTCACTCGGCACCTCCGTCCACATGGAGACCAGAGTGACAACAACTGGGTGAGCCCTTCAGTGAACACCTGGAGACGCTCGTGGTCGGATGGACGAGAGGGCGATGGGCTCGCTTACTTGACTCCTTCTGTGCTCCCACCCCAACAAACTGCGACGCCCTGAGCCATTACAGCCACCTACTCTTCTTTGTGACTCTTCCCACCCAGAAGACAGCAGCACCTCGCTGGCCGTGAAGCCTTCTGGAAACGCTGTCCTCCCAAGCAGCAAACGCGGTAAGATTTGCCAGAAAGACAGCCACAGATATACCTCCAGTGACACTTCATTTCTTCCTCATTGACCTGTTTTTAAAATCACTATTCGGTTAGTTTCGGCGCCGGTCTCTGCCGCAATAAGGCAGCTCCAGGAGACGAAAGGTGCCAGTCAGTCTGCATTGCTTACCTTTGATAGGCCTGAGGAGAGGCGGGAGGTGTGTTGAACACGTGCGGGTGTGGGTGGTAAGGTGTCTTTTTCAAAGCCTGGATTAGATTCTGTCTGTACTCCGGGTCTATGCACCACAGCGACCCTTTCCCAATGCTCTGTGAAGAGAATGAGAACACAAGCGCTGTGAAAACAGAAAACGTGAAACACTTTGCATGAAGTAGCTAGGCAGCTACTATCACAGTTACTTAGCTTTAAAAGCCCCTTCGGTTGTTTGTTAACTGTTTGTCTGCCTTAAGTAGTGGGATATCACGCCCTGACAACAGAACACCATCAAATGCACTTTGGTTTAATCCGTACTGAATTTGACAGACAAAATGAACATGGTATTTATTATTGGGTGAGACTGATACAGTAATACTATAATTTTCATATCCTAACAGCCCAAAACATTTAGATTCCTATATTATTTTTCAGTGTCAACTTTGAAAAACAGGTATTCTCTTCTAAAAATTAGTTTGAAGTGTCAGATTTCAAACACTGAAAAGAAAACGGGGTGAAGACACCCTCTGAACTCCGTGTCAGCTTTAAAAGCCGAGAGCTGTGTTTCTGAGCCCTGTTACATTGGTCCCGCTTTACAAAACCAGACAGGCAATCCACTTTTTCTCTCCTGCTAACTCACATGTGTGACATTTCGGCTTCGAATGGAACCCTGTAATCTGCCCTGAGAGACGAAAGAGCCAGGCGGCAGCGGTAAGCCTGAGCCGGCTGGTGTTTGTCTGCCGGATTCTCAGTTCCCACTCTGCTCCGGGCCTAACGGGGGTCCGATCTTTGGTAGTGGGTCTTCGAAACGCATGTGCTATGAAACTGGTGGCATGGAATGAGGGGCTTGGCAAGGCCCACTTTCTGTGGGGGGCTTCTGGTGCGTGGAGGGCATTAAAAAAAAAAAAGGCCTTGCCAGGAGGCCCCCTGAAACTGGCAGCTGGCCAGTGGCAGTCACTGCCCCACCTGCTTTCAAGTGACCGAATGTACCCAAGCTGTTTGATAAGGTCATTTGTAAATATTGACTGATTTGGAGAGAAAAGAAATCAAATTACATAAACCCATGTCCACCCCATGCTTCCAGCCAACAGAACTTATTTTCACAACTACTGTACTCCAGAAAGATTTAGAAAGCAAACAAGAAAAGTGCTTAACTATCATGGGGACAGAGCCCAAGAAAATCTCTTAGAAAATGAGTCCTAAGACCTTGAGAGAAACCTTAACGTTTTCCTGTGCCTGTCATCTCACCAAATGACTTACTAACAAACTTATTCACAGAACTCGTTCAGATCCTTCGCCACCAACGACATCAGCAGGCAGCGTCCCTGCAAAGAGCTCTCTCTGGCACACTGAGAGGGGAGGAGCCCGCGCCACCCTGGTCACAGCCACTCCCAGGCACAGGTCTGACCCCGACACAGGTTCCAATCAGGCCCAAGTTCCCAGTTTAGTTATCCCGCTGTTTCCAGACACAAAATACTTCCACTTCGGAAAGCTCAGCATCCTCATGTCGCCTTTCATGTGTCCACTCTCCAGCCAGGACTCGTTCAGGGAACTGAGCAGACTCTGAGTCGAGCAGCCTGGCAGCCAAGGGACCTACTGTGGACCTCTGTTCTTTTCTTTGGGAAAGAGACACTCGGCACACTGTTGAGAAGAAAGCCAAACGCTAGGGAGCGGAGAGTCGTGGGGAGGGAGGGTGGACGGTGACCACCGACTGTGCATAAGGGAGCTCAGAGCACACAGGCCCACAGCAGCCGGTGGCCCCTCAGCAGCGGGGCCCTGCCCTGCCTGCACCAGAGCTGCTGGTGGAGATGGCAGGACCCTCCCTTCTGACCCCCCACAACCAGCTACCCAGAGGGCTGAGGCCCACACACAATCCAAACATTTCCTCGGGAGAGATTATCTCAGGCCTGGGAACCTAACGGCTTTTGTTTTTATCGAGGTGGATTTCAGGGTAGGGCTGTTGAATTTTACAGGGAATACAAATAATGGCAGAGGAAGGAAGGACAACCGACCCTCTCAGGGAAGTAACAATAGGCCAAGAATGTGTTTTTCCCTAATCCTGACCTAAGGAGCTTGTCTATTATACCACAGTACTATTTACAAACCAAATGGAAAAACCGCAGGACAGGGGTGCGATGGGGGTTACATTTCACAAGGTAAACCGATCCAGGTGCAAGAAGTGGGCGGAGTCACAGCAGAAACAGAAGTTCTGGAGCTGGACATTTCCCGTGTGGCCCTGGGGAAAGCAGGGTCCCACAGAAGTCCTGGCTTCCTCGTGGGCAAAACAGAGACCCCCCTAGAAACAGGTGCGAGGCCCAGCAATGGCATGCGGCGAAACACCTAGAATGTATCAGGACCTACGGGTGCTCAATAAACGGCGACGTCCTCGGGAACATCTCCTTTCTCACAGAAAAAAGCACGGCCAATGCTGGGTGTGCAATGCCTTTTATGAAACCCAATCTGCCTTTCCCAAAGCCCTCTGCCCTAAAGGCAGCACCACGCCTGCAGCGGCAGTGGGCGGGGCCAGGATAACTCCCAGGAGCTGTGGGTGCTGGCTCAGCACACTCATTCCAGCAGCCCTTTCCACTCTCTCAGATCCTCCTCCCCAGGGCCCCACCCGCCTTCTGTGCACCCTGCACTCCCTGTTTTCTCTACTGCAACTTCTCCCTTGCTCAGGAAGCCAGTTCTGGCTCTCGACACCCACCGGTCGCACAGTGATCGTCCAGCTGAGGCCTCCCTGCAAACTTGGTCAGCACCCACGTAACTGCAGAGTTCGCTCACTGCAGCTCTCTGCGCAGGCTTTGCAGCATATGGGTCCCTACCTTCTGTAGTGCTGCCTGTTCCTGGGAGGGGGATTCTGGAAATGCTGGTAGGTTTTTTTACAGACTAGACACTAATTTCAGGAGCTCATACTTCAAGTTTCCAAAGAGCAAAAAATAAACAAAAGCAGCATCATCAGGACACACCCATGGTGATGCTGTCAATCTCGTTCATCCCTCCTGTGATCTGACAGTAGCTCGCACAGGGGCTTGGAAGGGGCAGGAGAGGCGCAGGCACCGGGTCTTATTTTCAAGCTCTCTCCTGGGTTTCATGTAACGGTTCAGAGCAGAAAGAAGGTATACTCAAAAACTCCTCGAATGGAAATATGCAGAGGAGAGAGTGCTCCAGTTTCTTAGGCCAAGAAAAAGTACATTTAATGCCCCTAATGGAGGAGAGAAGGGTGTAATTTTTATTGAAGTTGTAAATATATAATTGAGAGTAAGAGCTTTTAGAAATATAATAACTGCATCTCATGTAAACAATATATATTTTAAAACTTAATAACTATAGGGGGCATTTTTCATTAAATATTAAGGAATTCAAAATTATAAGAGAAGAAAGACCTTCATTCATAGATACACTTTCATCTTAAATGTATGTTATTTAAATTTTATACACACACACAAAGAATTTGAGAAAACTAATGTGAAAAGTAGAGGAGGAAACTGAATAAAAAATTACCAGGGAGGCCAACCTTTTTTTTTTTTTTCTTTTAATTAAAACCCACCTGGGGAATAACAAACAGCTCCCTATTAGCAATAAAAACATCAGTACATAAGAGGAAAAAAAGACAAACACAAGGTTCTCTATTGTAGAAAGAACTGATTAGTGAGAAAGGTTTTAAAAAAGAGAGATAAGAATATAACTAAATTAAATCTTAAAATCCGACTTCCACAGTGACATCCATTTTCCTGAGAGCTCCAAACCCAGGGCTGCCCTGAGGCTCCTGAACCTCCCGGTCCCCCAGGCCCCCAGGCCTCCAGGACCGAGCTGCAGCGCTGGGCAGTTCTCCTGACATCAGCTTCCTCTGGGGTCTCCTCGCGGGGTTGTGAGTTCTGCGCTTAAGCACCTTGTCTGAAGCACTGTTTATGAACTGTGGGCTCTGATGCACAAATGGGTCGTGGAATCAACGTGATGGGGAATGACCAGCACTGTTTTAATGGAAGAGAACAGAACCAAAATGTGTGAGTGTGTCTACATATGTGCAGGTGCATTAGGGGTCACAAGGTAATGTCCACTTCTTACTGAAAAGCATGCTACGCCTCGGTCTAGGACAATGGTTTCGATTTTTTAAGTTTTCTTGTCACTTTGGGGGAGGGGGAGAGTATGAAGCCCACTTCCCGCAACAATGGAGGACTCTCTCCATGTGACACCCAGGGTAGGAAGAGGCTGGGCTTGGGGAAGGGGGATACTGAGGCAGGACCCACATCGAAATGAGCAGGGAGCTGGATACGCGTTCTTGGCAAATTTGAAACAATCCCTTTCGGTGTTTACGATAAGCCATTTCTGGGAGTGTTTCCAAAACCAACCTCCCTCGTCCTTCCCTTTGCCCTTCTGGTACCCAGGACAAGCCAGGCACCATGGGGGATATGTTGGCGAATAGAAAACAATACAAACAAGGACTGCTCTTTTGAAGCCTGGATTCTAGAGGGGGAAGAAGAGAGTAAATAAGTAAAGAAAAAGACATGTCAGATCATGACGGACTGCAATGCCTTCTGGGAAGAAAACACAGACTGATGAGTTAGAAGACAGGAACTGTTAGGAGCTGAGGCTTCCAGCCAGGCCAAGGCGGCCAGGTCACAGCAGCGGAGACGGAGAAAAGGGGACACCTCCAGGGTGTATACTCTGGAGAACCAAGTAGACCTGGCAAAGGGCTGGAAGTGGCGGGTAAAGAAAAAAACAAAACAAAACAAAACAATTCTTTGGTTTGAGCACTAGGGCAGATCAAAGACTGAGAAGAGGAAAAAATCCAGGGCTTCTTGGAATGTATGAAACTTTGAGATGTTTATGTATTAGGAATGACTAAGGAAGTTGAAAGAATTGCTGGACGGACGTAGGTCGCCTCTCTCCCTCTGCTGTGCCCTCAGTGACCCCAACGTTTCTGGCGAAAGGTCATGAACGTCCGAAGACAGGTCTGAGGCCGACTGGCTTCGGAGGTTTGACGTCAACTCGAGGTCCTACATCGGGAGTCGATAAACTTTTTCGCAAAGGGTCAGAGTAAACATTTTAGAGTTGGTGGGCCATGTGGTCTCTGTTGCAACTGCTCAGCTCGGAGTTGCAACACAAAACACAAACG